ACAAACTTACTTTTTCCCTTGCATTTCTCCTTCCCAGTTGCCAAAAGCTACATCTTTGAGGGGGAAAAAAAAATCATTATTTTCCAAGTTTAAATTTGCTGCTTATTCATGTTCTCCAAGAACTCCATAATCAGCTATTTTTACACTGATAGTTATTTTTAGTTGCTAAAATCATTAGATTGACAAAGTACAGTCCTCCCCTCCCCCACAGAGGTCCAGGCCCCAAACCAACCAGGCTTCTTCTCCTGAACCTCATCTTCTGTTTATGCATGGCCTACTTTCGGCCCACACTTCCCCCTATAAGCCCCGGTAATTTGTCAAACTCAGGCTAATCTCCTTAATCCCTTGGGCTGAAGGATTTAAGTTTAATGTTTTAATCTAGGGGCCTCACTGTTTAAGTAATTAGAGGTCATATTTCTAGCTCTCTCCTTTAGATAAATTACCTTAGTTTGCTCTTTAATTCTAATTTATAAATAACAGAATTCTAAGAATTCCCAGTGGGCATAATTTGGAGTTTTGGACTGAATGTATGAATTAAGAAAAGAACATTCTATGATACTTGTGTTTCTTGCTCAAGCCTATTTTCCTTACAGTTCAATTTTATTTATTATTACTTTAATTATTCTTATGTATAAGATACAGTGTGGTAATTCAAAACCTGCAGTATATTTCAGTATTATCAAAAAAGTAGTTAGTATTTCCATTTCCTTAAATATTTAAAAAATTTTGGATTAACATGTAGCAATTGCATATTTGTGAAATGGTATGACTCTTCAATACATGTTTACAATGTGTACTAGTCAAATGCGGTAATTCATTTTTGTTTATTTATTATTTCAGGTTTGGAAGTTGTGGTTGGAATCCACATTTAACATACTACCTAAGGCAAGCATTTGCTATTGTACTTTAGAAGTATTTGTTTGTTTTCCAGAATCCTGTTGTATACTTAGAATTCCTTAAGTCCTTTCCAACATTTTTTCATGCCTGAGAACTTGTGAGCTTTGGAAAGAATTATTTTCCTATCAGTTAATCTGGACATTCTTACAAAATGTCTCAAACATCTTTCCCGTCAGGAACAATTTATTTAGTCACAGAAGGACTCTAGTTTTACAGTCTAAAAACCCAAACAGAGAAAATGAACGGATAAGAGCTAGTGTACAGTGAATTTATTTATTGTAACACGGCATAGAAATGGGAAAAGTCGACACTCTGAAAAATATTGTCCTAAACAGGACAACATCATCCCTTGGCATGTGTGGTCTGTGTGGGGGGCTCTGACGCTTTGTGTCTACCAGCTCATGTGTTCTCACAGATCTGCCTCTCAAGTCTGAGAGGCTTGAGGCTCAAGGGTCCTCTGGACAGGCTTCCTGGGCCTGCTCTGGGGTGGCAATCCAGACCTATGTGCAGCCCCTTCCAGAACGCTCATCACCGGGTACAGCACTTTAACTCACAGAGCCCCACCTGCCTCTCTGCCTCCGGAGTGGTGATCAAAGGTGTGCACCATCACACCAGGCCCTGCACTCTTTCTTTCAAGAGTTGAATATTAATTAAAGCACTTTAGGTACTAGTGAAAGTAATTTCTGGGCTAAAGAGTTTACGAGAAAAAAAAAATTAAAGGTAAGACGGAGTGGGAAGTTGTGTGTGGTGGCTAGCCTTAGCTCTAGGAGACTGAGTAGGCACAGCAGTGTGAGGCAGCCAGGCAGATGAGCACTGCAGGGCCAAACCGGACCGCTGAAATGCATTACTCACTGACTGAGGAATTTACAAGACAACAATCCTTATTAATGTCAAATTGGCTCGTGTTGGATAATTTCTTGAATTTCTGTGCTGCCCTGAACAAATATCTTAACCATCCATGTGTCGGTTGACTCATCTGAAGACCCATGGAGTTCTCGGGAAATGCTTTGAGCACATGCTCAGATGTCCCATCCATGAGATGGAGTAGGGCTGGTCAGACTGGGGGTTGAACTCAGCCCTAAGAAAAAGGCAGAGGTGCCTGCTGACAAAAGGGACAGACAAACTGAACCCCAGGACGCACGTGGTGGAGAGAACCAACTCCGGCAAGGTACCCTCTGAATGCCCTACTCAGATAAATAATTGTAAAGCCCCAAATAAAGACCACAGTGGTGTTTGGAGCGGTGTTAGAATGAGACTGAGAACCGGGCCTTGCTTCCTTCTGCCCCGTCACAGAACAATATGAGCAGAAATCATCACAGGCTGAACTCACAGGTCCAGCAAGCTCTGCCATAGCGGGTCAGTTTTACCATCTGATTGTTCCCCCCTCGGCCCCCGAGCAAATGCTATTTTCTGAACGTTCTCAGCTGCGCTCACTGTTTGGGAACTGAGTCAAGAATCCAAAGCTGATGCCTAGGGGAGCAGGCTTCTCCTCTTAGTTGCCATACGGAGCCATTAGATCTTCCAGCTAAAGGACCCCAAAAAAGGTTGGTGGTGGTGGTGCATGTCGGTAATCCCGGAGGCAGAGGCAGGTGGGTTCCCTGAATTCAAGGCCAGTCTTTGTCCATAGTGAGTTCCATCTTGAAAAACCAAAGGGGGGTTGGGGTGGGGTGGGGGAGGGGGGACACGACACAGGATCTCACTATGCAGACCAGAGTGATCCGAAACTCTCAGAGAACCACCTGCCTCTGCCTCCTAAGACTGACGGTGTGAGCCCACGGAGTTCGGCTTCCCTGACCCTTTTTCAAGTTTTACAAAAGGGATTTGGGGAAACAGATTAGCAGCTTTAGAGACTAGATCATGGGGAACCCATAAACTCCGGGTGAGCACAGCTGCTCACTGGTAATCCCAACACAGGCAAGTGTGTGCTGGAGGCAGAGGCAGGAGATCCCTCTGTTGTGGAAGTGGGGCTCACAGGGCTCAGTGACAAAGCCTGCTTCCATATACACAAGGTGGACAGAATTGAAAAAGGCATGGCATGTCACCCTCAGGCACCAGTACCCACCACAGGTACACATATATCCTATACACAAATACATATGCCAATACAAATAATATTGCACAGACTGCAACCTGGGTGTCTCGAAGGTCTTTGAGCAATGGATATGCAAACTAGAGAATTTATATATGGAAACAGGTAAGCAGCGGTAGATCCTCTTCGCCTGAGTTCAACCTCAGGTGGGAGGATTACTGACTATCCTGAACGATATGGCGAGAGCCCCTCTCCCACACACAAACACAGACCGCTTCAAACACTTCTTGTGAACTAGTAACATTTTCTCCCTCTGTGTGTGTGCCAGGCATGCACGCCTGTGTGGACATCTGTTCCACCCATCTTAATCTATCTTATTTTATGTGCTTGGGTGTTTTTTGTGTGTGTATGCCTACCATTTGCATGCCTGGCACTGGAGAAGACCAGTAGAGGGCATCAGATTCTCTAAACCCAGACTTACACACTGTTGTAAGCCTCTGTGTAGGTGCTGAGGATTGAGTCCAAGTCCTCTGGAAAAGCAGACAGTGCTCTTTAACCACTGTGCCAGCAATCCAGGCCATAATCTTTGTGTTTTTGTATTTTGGTTTTGGTTTATGGCTTTTCGAGAGAGTTTCTCTGTGTAGCTTTTGGAGCCTGTCCTGGAACTCACTCACTCCTTAGACCAGGCTGACCTCGAACTCAAAAGAGATCCATCTGGTTCTGCCTCCCAAGTGCTAAGATTAAATATGTGCGCCCCCGCCACCACAGCCGCCTCCGCCAACACGCGGCCCAGTCCATAATCTTCATTTTAGAGTAATTACTACCGGTTTCCAATTTCAGGGATAGTACATGAACCCCAATTCCATCACAGACAAGTCTACCATTATCACAGGAGTAGAGAAACACATTTTTTTCTTGATATAAAAAAGTACAATATTCAAGTAGCATTATATAGTCTGAGTGAGAAGTGTGAAAAGAGAACAGGAATTTGAGAGAAAACAAGACTGGTAGGTGGAAGGAATTAGAGGAAGGAATGAAATGAGGAAAATGATGTAGTTACATTTTAATTTCGAAAGTTACAAGAAACAGTATTTTGGTTGCTTTGAAACACCATAGTGGACATCATTGTGTATGTCTGTGACTCCTTGTGAAAGGAGATATCAACTAGTAAATAAAATGTTTTAACAGATCTCCAGGCATAGTGCTACACACACCTTTAATTCTAGCACTTGGGAGGTAGAGCCAGCCAAGGCTAAGAGAGAGACCCTGTCTCAAAAACACAAAACAAAATAATAATAATAAAAAAAAACAAATTTAAGTTGAAAAGCTCCTTATAATTTACAGGGAACAAATCTTTAAAAAAAAAAAAATGAAGATATCTGGGGCTAGGAAGATGGCTCAGAAGAAGGGCATTTGCCACCAAACCACATGTTCAGTCCCCAAGACCCACGTGGCGGAGGCGAGGGCCCAACCATCCCAAGTCCAGGCACACTCACACCCTCAACATAAATAACACCTGATGCCATTTCCTTCAACGCCTTAATATTTTGATTTCACTTGCCTTAGGAAGCATTGACAGGGACCAAGGAAGCATTAATCCTGATTTGTGCACTTTTCTTCGCTTTTTCTTTCAAACTGGTAAGGACCCAACAAGACAAAAGGGACTGACAGCTCAACACTTTCTGGTAGAAATGCTATGTGTCTTCACTGGGTTGTGGACACACAGGGGTACACGCTAATCCTACTCACGGTCTCCACGCTTTACCACACGACTCAATGAAGAGTCTGCAAACGGTATGTTGAACAAGGCATCCTGCCGAACAGAGGAGCTGAGGCAGGAGGATCTCAGGCCTCAACAAAGAGACGGTTGTCCTTAAAATAAGTAAGTTTGAATTCCAGTGTCTACATTAAGTGTCAGATTTGAGTTCCTCGTGGATTGGTCAGATCCTAAAGAAAAAGAAATGCCCCATGGCCCCACCCAAAGGCCAGACTCACCTCCCTCCTCCCACCCCCCAGGAGACCTGCATCTCTAAACTCCTCTAACTGGACATGTCCCCAGAAATCCCCCACTCACCTCCACCGTCTGCGAGGGCATCCTCAGTCTGGTGAGCTTGGCCTTGGCGGGCACTTTGACGTCTGGTTTTTCGAAGCTCTGCTGACTGTAGTCTTCCAGTGGCGGCTTCAGCTCGGGGGACTCACTGGGAGCCTGATCCTGACCGTCCATGGGCCGGACGTAGGCCGTGGGCTTCTGCTGCATTGCAACAACAGTCTTTGAGGGGAGGGGAGGGGGTGGAAATGTCTGAGGAGGGGCTACCCCAAGGCTGGTGGTAACTGCCACCAAACTGTCGTGGGCAGTCTCGTTCTCTTGCACCTTCGCTACCAGGTCCTTGGAAGACGTGGCTGCGCAGTAGCTTTTACTGCTGCCGCCACCGCCGCCACCGCCGCCACCGCCGCGGGCCTTGCTGGGTCCCTGCAGCCTGGAATGTACAGGTGACAGGGGCGGCACCGGCGACGGCAGAGAGGAGATCAAGGGTGAGAGCTTCATCTCCGGAGCCGAGTCACCACCACCGTCAGCTCTGCGGTCACACTTTCTGTGGCTGGAACAGTGCCCCTCCTGACTGAGGCGATCTTGAGTCAGACGCTGGCTGTCGGGCGGGCCATAGTGTTTGGCATGGAGACCTGGCACTGATTCCATCCTTGGTGGTGCCATCTTTGGACTGTGGCTAATGTTACTGACAGAAAGTGATCCCGGGGCAGAAGAAGTATGGACAGGCTGGTGGTGGTAGACGTGCGTGCGGAAGGAGCTGGATGCCAGGCTGCTCCCCCTGTCGTGAAATGAAGGATATCTCGGCTTCCCTGGCCTGTCTTCAGAAGCATCCAGGCGCTGAGGGCAAGACTTGGCGCTCAAGAACTCCTTCATCTCTTCGTAGTCTCCTAGCATGTTCTGTATCCGACTGGACAGCTCATCACCTTTTGCAGTCTGAAAAGCAGAAAGACAGCAGACTCACACTGGGGAAACAAACCTAAGCAGAGCAATAATCACTTAATAAATTATGATGTAATACCACGAAGAAAAAACCCTCTCAAATTCATGTGGAATGCAACGTTAACTATTTCCCCCGCTGAGAAGCCTGCCACAGATACACATTACTAATTACAGGAGGCTACCATAACAAAAGAAAACCACACACTTTGGTAATTCTGACTAACGATGTTCAAAGAGTGTTCAGATTGTTTTCAAAAACAACCTCTGGGTTCAGTTGTTTTCTCAGTTGCGGCCCCCGATGGAACTCGGTTGCACTGAATAACTTTATCATCAAGTTTAATGCTGGGATAGGCCAGCGTTTCTCCCTCTCACCCACAGTAAGTACCTTGTAGGGCTCTCCGAACAGAGGGGTCTTCTCAGCAAACACCTCTTTCTCTTGGTGAGCTTCTTGGTTGCGTCTTTCCTTCTCTCTAATCCGAAGCAGGTTTCTATCTTCATTGTACAAGCTTTTCCAAATGCCACAAAAGAACAACAACAACAACATATCAGTATCCAAGGTTTGTTGTGCACACAGAGGTGTGGAAGGAGCAAGAACAGGTCCAAGAAGATACGGTGACAGGGAGCACCTGGGGCTGCAGACATGGCTCGGCAGTTAGAAGTGCATGCTCCTCCTGCACAGGACCCGAGTTCCGTTCCCAGGACCCACCCAGGCCTAGCAGCTGGCTCACAGCTCACAGCTGCCTGTAAGTCCAGCTCAAAAAAAAAAATCTAACACCTCCTCTGGCCTCCATGGACACACACGAGGGAGGGAAGGGATGAAAGGAAGGAAGGATAGGAAGGGCACAAGTCTTACTGGACCAGTGGCTCACACCACTGATGAGACAGAACAGGAGGATTGCCAAAAGTTCAAGACCACCCTTGTCTACAGAGAAAATTCAAAGACTGATTTTCTAATTAAAAGATCACCAAACGCCCAAGACATCATTTATTCTCAGTCTACTCTAGGGTATCTTAGCATACAAAGTCAGAAAGATGACTTGTACTTATTTCAAATGTCAAGGATGAACAATCCAATTATACATGTCAGTTCTATATACTAAGAACATCACACAGTCCAATCTGAACCACATAAAAATGTATCCTACATCATCGGACATGGTATCAAACTGGTTCAGACGAACTCACTGACACACAAGTCAGAGATGGATTCTGAAAGAATGCTAATTTCTGAACACAGAAGCCGCAAACAGGCCTGCCCCATTCTCCGTAACACGGTGCCCCTCCAGACCTCCCTCTGTGACCTACACTGAATAATGGGAATGAAGGAACCATAAAAAGACTTGGTCTTCTTGACCTGCTTCTGAAGATCTGCTAAGACTTCCTTCCCAGTGTTATCTGAACAAAAAAACATTAGACTGCCTTAGGTGTGTGTCCGTCAGTCCTTCCCAATTCTAGCTGCCGTCCAACGCCCTCCAATGCTTTCTCACACTTCCATTCCTGACAGGAGCCTCTTGGTCTCCATGCTGCCACAGCTTCCTCCTCAAATTCAGTCTCCCATTAATGACTAGGTCTAAGGTTCCAATCCTCATGTCACTGTCCGTATCTAAAATGACAGTCATTTGACGGCTCCTTATACTACAGAATAACCTCTAATCTTTGTTTTGGCATTAGAATTCCCTGACAATCTGGTTTGGGTGAACACTTGACCAGATTCCAGTGGCCCTGCAGGCCTGTCACTACTTGGCCATCCTTCTTGTAAGAGCCAGCCCCTGTCTCTAATCCCCACTCAGATCCCCTTTACTGAAAGGTAAGCATTCTTCCAGGACTGGTTTGTACTGCCCGACAGGGCCACTCACTCTCCAAACCATCCTGGGAGTGAGCTTGCTTCCATTCCAGTCCCAATCTCTGCCCTCTTTCCCTCTACCTCCCCACACTCCGACCAGACGACCCCACCCTTAACTTTCAATTTCTGATAGATCCAGTGACTCAAATGTCACCCACTTTAAAGATGCCCCTCAAATCCACCAACTATGTTCCTGCCCAGCACATTATTGCTTCTTTTATCTCTCCCCTGGGATAGGATTCCATTAGAAAAGAACCTCATCTTCACTCGCACGGTACTTAGATGTGGTACTGCCTGGAAGTCAATCAAATATTTTTATATTAAAGCACAGCCATTATGCATGCAGTAGTAGTATGTATGTATGTACGTACGCATGCATGCATTCTGGTTTTTTGGGACAGGGTTTCTCTGTGTAGCCCTGGCTATTCTGGAACTCACTCTGTAGAGCAGGCTGTCCTGGAACTCAGAGTTATGCCTGCCTCTGCATCCTCTGCCACAACCGCCCAGAGCAGTGTATATATATATATATACTTCCTGTGCAACTTTCTTAGATTTAACACTGGAAGAAACATGCAAAAACAATCTAAGAAAATAAGTCAACCTAAAAATTTTCTATTTCACCAGAGTGGCACATGCCTTTAATCCTAGCACTTGGGAGACAAAGGCAAGTGGATCTCTGAGTCTACATATAGAGTTCTAGGGAAGCCAGGCCTATCCAGAGAAAACCTGTCTTGGAAAAAAACAAAACAAAACAAAATTCTATTTCTTTCAACCTGGGGAAGAAGGGCAAGATACCAGACTGAATTTGATAGGACTGGTCAAAAATTATCTACTTAAAACTAGGTGTGATCGCTCATGTCTGTAATCCCACTCAGGAGGATGAGAGTTTGTGGCTAGCCTGGGATACATAGTCACTTCCAGGCCAGCCTATCTCAAAAATAAAAATTAAAAAAGAATAAAAATAATTATATTCTTAGACTAGTGTATCAAAAACGAACTGAATGGTAAATTCCCAGCACCCACATCAGGCAGTTCACAACCACCTGTGACCCTGGCTCTAGGGGGCCCAACATCCTCTGGCCTTGGTGAGCTCCTGCACTCATGTGGTGCACATAAATTCATTCAGCCTGTTACACATACCATAAAGAAAAGTACAAGAATCTTTTTCTAAAACTTCAAAGATGACAGACATGAACTCATAGCTGCAAAGATCATTTAATGCTAGTTGGCATACTAAAATAGAGGAGAAACTAAAATATAAGCTAGACTCTTCTCTAGTAAGAACAGGGTGGTTCACGGGCTGGCAGAAGTGTGTTTTGGGATGGGGAGGGGAAGAGACGGGGTCTCTCTGTGTAGCCTCGTCCGGCCATGCCTGTGGCCCTCCTGCCTTCGCACATTCTTGGCATCAGCAACGCTCCCTCCTCTGCTTTGGTTTGATTTTGAGATGGGGTCTCTCTGTGTAGCCCTGGCTGTCCTGCAACTCTCTATGTAGAGCATTCTGGCATCAAACTTGCAGAGATCCGCCGGCCTCTGCCTCCCCAGTGCTGAGATTAAAGGTGTGACCCTGGCTAGAACCATATGTAATAAACATTAGCAAAGACTTTTAATAACTGTCACTGTTCAACTGAAAAAATCTACAAGTAGTGAGGTGAGCAGAGACATCCATGACTGCACTGTCTGTTGGGTGGGTCTGTGTCCAGACTGGGAGACTCGCCCACGTTGTCTGTGGTCCCTTTCGCCAAGGCTCCTGGATAAAGCAGAGGGCCAAGGAACCAGTTCACAGAGATGCTCAGGGTAGGGTAGGCCGGGGACCCTCGCTGGGCCTTTTTTCTTCATGCAGCTAACAGCATTTGCCAGTTACACCGGCAGGCTTCTGGTTTACTTCAGTATTGATTTGCTAAAAATCTGCGGTAGCCTAAGTGTTGTTTCTGAAAGGGCCCTGGGCAATATATTTTTTCCAGAAATATTTTTTTTCTTAGTCCTGCTGAAATCAGGGGCAAGGTGAACTTCAAAACAGAGCAATACCATCACCCACAGCATGAACTGAAACTTTGCAGACTGTTTCAAACCAAGCACAGCGCAAGGAAGGACTGTTATGTGCACGTACAAACGTGTGCGGTGTGCATGTGGGGTGGAAGACAGCTTTGGAGAGGCTGTTCATTCCTTTCCATCATCATGTGTGTTCCGGAAATGAAATAAACTCAAGCTTTCTCTGCAGGACTGCCATTGGGCAGTGTCCTTTCTGTGTTACTGTGGTCATTGGTGTGTGTTTGTCCATGCACACACACATGACGTGGGGACATGCCTGCTACAGCACACGTGATGATCACAGGACTACTCTATGGTACAGCTTCTCACCTTCCACTTTTCTCTGTGTTCTAGGTCTTGAGCTCAGGCTGCCAAGTTTCACCCTACCTGCCAAGCCATTTCACCAGCCTGGAAGAGTATATGCATGTGTGTATGGGTGCACGGATGTATGTATGTGTGTATGTATGTATGTATGTATGTATGTGTGTGTGTATGTATATATGTGTGTATTTGTGGGTTGTTGTTTTTTTTTTTTTTTCAAGACAGGGTTTCTCTATGTAGCCCTGGCTGTCCTGGAACTCACTCTGTAGACCTGGCTGACCTAGAGCTCACAGAGATCTGCCTGCCTCTGCCTCCTGAGTGCTGGGATTAAAGGCGTGTGCCACCACCACACTGCACAGCCTGGGAGAACTTTTAAATGAGGGAATTTTTTTAGGCAGCAGTGAAGGTCTTAGTGATTCTCTCTCTGTAATTACCCTTGAATAATTACAAGTTAACTATGGCTTTAATTAAAGGCAACCACCTCCCCCAGGAGAAGCAACACAATTTTCACTCTCTGGCATACTTGGGTAACATCGAACTGATGATAGCCAAACAGTCGTAAGTCAGAGAAGCTTGCTGATGGCCACAGCACTCGACATTAACTCATGCTTCTGTGAGCATCAGAGTAGGGCAAAGGCTTTTACAGGAGCAGACTGTTTCGTCTTCAGAAGCTGTTAGGTGAGGAGAGTGAATCTGAGGCTCGATGAGAATAACAGCGCTGAGGACAACAGCTCCGGCTGGGACTGGCGCCTCTGTGCTGGGCCTCAGCCAGCACTGTCCTGGCCACATCACTTACTCTCCTATTTGGTTTTCGATCAGACCTGTCATAATAGGATTTTTTATTAGACCCATTTTCCAAGTGGAAAAAAAATAAGGCTCAAAGATTGGCTTTCTCATGACACCCTGGAAATCCAAAAGCCTGGCAAAAGCTTATGTTCTCAGTCACGGATCTCCTAGCAAACCTGCCTGGCTGTGTAAAATGGGGTGGTGACGACTAAGAAGGTGGGCTAACTTATAATCACCTTAATTCCTTAGTTTAAGGAGGTACACGTCAGTCCAGGTATTATCCCTGACAGGAGAACAATCTCAAAACCACAGAACACATGACCAGTTCAACTAATCACACAAAGACCTTACAGGAAGCGGTCAGAGAGGGCCGTGCAGGCTACAGGTGCTCTTCAACTTCTGAAAACGGGGCTACAATTCTTCTTCAGACCCTTTTGTTAAATTTCACAAACTCGAGGGCACTGATCTCATAATAATCTAGTAACCTCTGGATTCATGTTTCTCACATACTGAGACTCACATGGATTT